TTACATTCTGGTCTCACAAAAGTCAATGGCAAAAGTCCCATGGACTTATTTAATGAGTCCAGTACTTCACCTCCATCCAAACACCCCCTTAACCTATAAAAAAAGCCAATTCTGCAAGTGAACAAAGGACAACTGCTCTCATATTGTAAGAGAAATGAAAAAAATTAACTAATCAAATTTCAGGTTTTAAAATGTCACTTACGCTAAATTCAAGGTGGAAGTATTAGATGAAAAGAAGGGTTTACCACGCTGTTACTTTCTAGTATAGCTGCAGAGAGTTGCTGTAGACTTACCTTCCAGGTGTATATAATTTTTCCATTTCTTTCAACATTTAGTACGTAGAGTGTTGATGAAGTCTCCTCAAAGGTATCTAAAATGATAGGTGTAAGGCATAAGATTCTGACTTGGGCTAATTCACTGTAAAACTTATGATGCTTTAAGACAAATGAGCATTAATTTTAAATCTGCAAAGGCACATTTGTACATGAAAAAACTTCAGTTCTTGAACAAAGAACAGTAGACTTCCATTTAATTCCCAAATAGCTTAATATGAGATGTGTATAGCATTTCAAAGTATAAAGAAGCTTGATTTGTAATCTTCGCTGCTCAACCACATTATATAAATCATGTCTGTGAGTAGTCTTTACTGTCAATGTAACGCAACAACATTTTAACCATCTACCTACAGTGTGATCTCAGGACCATCTCCTAATTGTATTTAGTATTCTACCTTAATATTTATTCTTAGTAAAGATGAGGAATATTTAATGAAAGAGGCTTGGAGTCATCTTGTGCTGTTTGTAGCAGACAAACATGATCAGCTTCTATCCATTATATGCCATGCAGAACTTTATAAAGTAGTATCTCTGCACTAAAGCCCTTGGAGCACTTTCTGGGGGTTTGCAGAGAACAAACAAGCTCTATGAAAACTGCCAACTTATTTCCAGCTGCCTGGATGTGGAAATGAAGTGGTGCCAGCTTAGCTGTTTCCTCTGGAGGCCATTCCCATATACAAGCAGGATCAGAAACAGAAACTGTTTTCAGGGATCAAAGCCACGAGGGAGCCATGGAGCTAGGCAGCATGTGCTGAGTATTAAGGAACTCAGCAGTATTGAGGAAGCACATCCAAAGATCCTAGGCGTCATGGAAACACGGATAAGACAATGGGGGTGGAAGAAAGATCAGACAAGAGAGATATTCAGAGGGATGAGAAGGACTAGTCAGCAGGGAAGCACTAGATATAAAATGAAAGCAACAGAAGAGCACAATTAATTTCTTTTAATAAGACAAGTCTTATACCACATTAAGTGCTTTTCTGATACTACTTCTTCATGCTTTCTAAATACTTTGGTTGCCAAAGAATTGTTGCATGATCACAAATGTGACTGTGATTAAGAAACACAGTCCGTAAGTGGGAAGTTTGACATCTGCATGTTCATTTGCAATAGGAATGTGGTTCAGCGAGTGGGACTGGGAAATTCTCAAAAGTCTTGTCAGGTGGTTTGTTCTGTTTGACTATTTACCTTGGTTATCACACAAGATTGGTAGGAAGTTTCTTTCCTCCCCAGGGTGCAAGCAGTTTAATATTTTAAGCCGCTTAGGCTGGCTAATAATGGAAAGAAAACCTCCTCTGTTTTATTTCATTTTTTGGATCAAAAAAATTCAGAACTGGTATTTTGTTAGAGGTGGAGAGAGAAAAAGGCTCCTGGCATTACTCTCCTCTGCCCTCCCCTGCCCTCATTACCCAGTTTTCAGGTCATAACAGCATTACATCAGAGATTATTAACCAAAAATAACCAAGAAAATTTGCTGTTCTCTTTTGGAGGACAGCACGTACTACATTGCCTCTAATAGAAGCTTCATAGAATTTAGTCACTTCTCTGAGCCTTCGGGAAAAGTACAGTTGCCTCCAAACTAGTTACTTCTTTTCCAGTTAAAACTCTCACAGGGCAAATTACTTCACACAAGACCTTCTACACCACAAAACGTGGAGTCAAAGGACTACCATTTTTCCTTTTTGAGCAGCCATTTTTTAATCTGTGCAGAACTTGTATGAGGGTGTGTCGAATCAAGGGAGTCACCAAACATTTGTAAAATAGAGAAAAATTAAATCGGAGTGGCAATCACTGGTGATCCTTTAAACCTGAAGGAAATCCAAGGGCATCCATGGTGGTAACACTGGAAACAATAGCCTTTCATATGCCACAATAAAAAAAAAAATAATCCCCCAAAACAGGCAGCTGAATTTAACAAGAGCATTAATATGGACAGGGACTGTACTGAATAATAAATGCAGCTGAATGCAAACAGAGTTGCTTTTCTTGTCAGTTCAGAATATGAATGTGCCTGCATGCCCAGTATGTGCATCAATGGAAACTCCAAGATAGTCTGCAAAGGGCTTTCAAATCCTTCAGAGAGAAAATTAATTAGCTTTTAGTATTATAGTTAGCAATTGTAAGCATTACTACAAAAATGCATACTACCTTGAAGGCAAAAAAAAGTTCAATTTCTGCATGTTAGACAAGCTTTCAAACACTTCTGTCACTGGTTTACAATCTCCCGCTTCAGTAGGACACTTGACCATCACCAACAATAGACTCAAAAGAGCCAGATTTACATGAAAGCTTTTTTCAAACATAGCTCAGTTTTAATTCACAGCAACAAGCTCTCCCTGATATTTTTAAAGCACAAAAAAAAGAAAAGAAAGTCACAACTGGAGTATTTATTTTTAAAAGCTAATTTTGCCAATCAATGCTGATCAGTTTTTTGGGGTTTTGAGGCGGGGTTTGTTTTGGGTTGTCTTTGTTTGGGGGTGTCTTTGGGGTGTTTTGTTTTTTTTGTTTTTATAGATCACCATGCTCTTGGAAATCTCTCCAATTATACGTCCTTTATACATCCTGTTCACAAACATGCTGTCGGTTCTCCAAGTTCAGTATCACATAAAATATTTTTTGTCTGTTCATTTGGGCTCCAATACTGAAAATATGTATGTACACACTAAACTTGACTGCTGTGTAATTCAGGCATGCCTATATGTTTAAAAAATAGCTTACAAATGCAGGGGACTGGACCTGATAGGATAGGAAGGAGCTTCCTGTGCTATGTTTGTAAGGCCAGGCCTTCAGTACATAGAGCCATTTTCAAATGTGTCCCTATTTACAATACTATACCTACCACGTCTCATTTTTTATTTTAATAGCAATATACCAGAAAGTCAGTGCGTAGTAGAATTTGAAACGGTAGGCAGCAGCCTTACTAATATCAGACGGGCTTATTGAAAAGATTCCTGCTTTTCTGAAGGCCCTGCCATGACTTCACCTTTCCAAAACATGATGGTCACTACTACCTCAAATATCTTTAAAACAGCTCCATACCATTACCTAGAACTAGTTCTGTGTTTTTAACTGCAAATTTGGTCACATTAGACTGAAAGATAATGAATGGTCTTTAAAGGACAGAAACTTTTATACTTACCTGCAGTTTCATATAAGTGTTTGAGACTGAATGAATTGAACATTACTATTATTATAGCAGCAATACATAGGTGGCAAGCTGATTATAGAAGAAAACTAGAAAACTTTTGGCAAGGTGTTCAGTTAGGAAGCGAGAACTTAGTAATTGTGTAAGTATATATCAAGATAAGGTTTTTTACATTATTTGCTTTTACTTTTCTAAGCTGATCTCAACCGCAGTCTTTACAAAAGCAGAAATGAAACGGTCTTTACAAATGAAAGTAGTAAAAAGAAGTGCCAAAAAATACATCGGGGTCGTATTTTTAACCCTTCTGCCAACTGATAAGTAAGCTAGAAATCACAAACTGTTGTGGCATCTACCAGCTCATGTCATTGTGATAGATAGCCGCTTACTATGAGGATGGGAGGTTTTTTGTTTCTTTGTTATTAAAAGGAGAGGGTAGGCGTCCTGTCCAATTTGTTTAGAGTGGTGGAAAGGTTGTGTGAAAGGCAGCAATACCCAATACATGGTAAGAAAACCTATTCGTAGGAGGTAAAATCCAAATATTTTCAGCCATCACGTACAGCTGCCTCCCTGCAAGCCTTCTTTGCCACACTTGTCTCTGCTGTGTGTCAACTGTCATGGAGAACAGACCGGTGGTGTAAAAACGACATCCAGGACGAACCTGACCCACATTTCAAGGAACTGCCGTTAAAGACACGCATCTTTGATGAAACGGCTTAACGCGACGTTGGCTTTTGAACCCAGAACAGGACGAGACTTACCCGAAGAGCTCACGGCTCTCAGATCAGCCCCCTAACTGCACTGCACCTTGCGCCTCATGTTGCCAATGAATGAAACTGTTCCCACTTTGTTACCAGATGCCTGGCTTCCTTCTTCAAAGAAGTACGCCAATGATACAGCAGATTTATTGCCCTGAATGAATACAGAATTCCCCCAGAATTGCAGGGTTTTCCCCCCACAGACCCGCCGCGCTTCTCACCAGGACAGTTTGACAAAAAGAAATGAAAAGAAAGGGCCCTGCTACACATCCCAATTAACGCTGGATACAAACCAGCTACAGCAGGGGTCGGCACCGTGTCTGGTTGGAGTGCCCCTGTTGCCAGCTCTCGTGACTTCTGGCATTGCTCTGAAAGCCTGAGCTGCACGAATGGGAAAAACTTCGCTCTTTACTAACAATTGCTCTGCAAGCGAGGCGGGGCTGCAACACTGCGCGGTTTGGATGTGTCACGTGCAGCGGGGGCCGCAGCGCCCGGGGGACGGGGTCAGCCCTGCGCCGCGAGCCACGGGCCCACGTCCCGCTGCAGATCGAACGCGGCGTCCAGCTGCAGCAGCATCGCGCGCCCGCCCGCGTCCCGCGTCCCTCGCTGCTGCAGCCCGCCGGCCGAGCACGGCCCACGCTTGCAGCCTATTGGGCGCCGCGGGTGTCATTCCGCCGGGGGTCGGCTGGTAACGTCTGCGCCCGCTCAGGGGCGAGGGGTTTGTC